CATCCTTCCGAGGTGGGTAAAATGAGGACCCAGATTGTTGGGGGCAATAGGCTGACTCTGTAAACCACTTAGAGAGGGCTGTAGAGCACTGTGAAGTGGTGTATAAGTGCTATGGTTTTGTCGCGATGTTTATTAAGTGAATCATAGAGTCAACCTTGAATTGGTCAGGATTGAACTGCTGGCTATGGGCAGAGTTTGCCTGCAATATGGCATTCTAACCACTGCACCATGGCCCTTCCTTCCTTCCTTCCTTCCTTCCTTCCTTCCTCCCCCCTTTTCTTGTTTCCCTCCTCCCTTCCTTCTTTCCTTCCTTCCTTCCTTCCTTCCTTCCTTCCCTCCCTCCTTCCTTCCTTCTGTCTGTCCTCCCTCCCTCCCTTTTCTTGTATACCACTTCCCCTCCCTTCCTTCCTTCCCTTCCTTCCTTCCCTTCCTTCCCACTTAGCAATAACACTTAGACTTATATACTGCTTCACAGGGCTTCACAGCCCTCTCTAAGCAGTTTACAGAGTCAGCACATTGCCCCCAACCATCTGGGTCCTCAATGCTACACCGATGTAAGAGATGGCAAGGCGGCTGGCAAAAAAAAATAGATCATGTAAGCAGACATAAACAATGATCAGACCAAAAAGGACTTTCCCTAAATCCCTAAGCAGGATTTCTTCAATCGGAATCCCGTGGCTGATGTGGTTGTGACTTCTAAAAGTTGAGAGGTGATGCTTTCACCTTGCTTTGTGGCTACTGGTCTCACCTGGGAGCCTGCAAATTAATTTTCCTCTTATTCCCCCACCCCCCTCACCCCGAACACACACATAGAGCTGACATCCAGTGCATTTTCGGGCTTTGAGGATTCCCGTTCAATCAGGTCACGATAACATCCCTCATTTGCAGGTAGCATTTGATAGTTCCTATTCACAGATGGGGGGTATTTATAGAGACGTGGGCAGGCGCCCTGAACAGGTGTGAAGGATGTTGAGCTGAAGGAACACGTCCGCTGGAAGCGACAAGCTTAGCAAGGCAGAGATGTTAGGAGACAGAGAAGCAAAAAGGAGATGCTCTTGGGCAGCTGCACCAGTTGCAAGTTCTTGGGAGGGCAAGTTGGGTTGTGGCACGGCCTCAAGAAATCTCTTACAAACCGACTTGATACACAATATACACTTCAACAGAGATCAGCTCTCCAGTTTTGGCAGCAAACCAAGCTGTTGCACATCGACAATAATCCTGCCACCGACAAATAAGGCTAAGAAGCTAAATTCTCTGGGGAGATCTCCAAGGCATGGTGGAGACTACAAGCCCAGGGGCCATCACCTTGGCTATGTGGCTGGCTGCTAGAAATACACCGAGGCAACCTACAGCTCCAGATGGATCTCATGAGAGTTGGCCACTGGTTCCTTTGAAGGTTCGAACGGGTGACCTATTACAGCTTGGATATTTTAAAACAAGACCGTGTTAGCCCTCAGGGGGAAAGTGTGAGGAATCTGGTAGACATTCTTCTGGCGAACACATGTTCTTAAAGTGCCTAAGCAGCAGCTTACAAAATTTCCTGCCTTCTAAGAACATGTGTTTGTTGGAAAAGATGCTACCGGATACCTGAACTTTTGAGCTTGGACACGGTCTGAAGAACAGTCTCTCTCTTCCAGATGTTTTTCATCTCTGACTTATTGGTTGACCCTTGTCCTGGCCTCTAGCAGGTCAACAGTGAAATCAATATGGATTCTTGTTCATTGCTGGACATCATCTGGGATAGTTTAATCTGGATACTTGCACTGAATAGATGATGGCTAAAATGTCCCCTTCTAGCTGGATGATTCTGTTATTCTATGGTTTTTCCAGTTTCATATTTTTCCAGTTTTTTCCAAGTGGCTGTCTACAGAGCAGCCCAGCCCATGCGTTAATTATGGTTGGTTGCACAGTAAACCAGATGTTTAGATTGGATTTGGCATTTTATCCACCTATCAAATCCTTCCCAAGCATCTGGGATAGGGAGATGTTTAATAATAACAGTAATTCCTTGTGTGTCAATCATATTTGGCTGATACATAATTCTCTTTACTCCACTCTACTCTACTGTACTCTATTCCTTATTCTACTCTACCCTATCCTATTAATTCTATTCTATTCTATTCTATTCTATTCTATTCTATTCTATTCTATTCTATTCTATTCTATTCATTTCTATCCTATCCTATCCTATTCCATTCCATTCTATTCTACTCTATATATTCTATTCTATTCATTTCTATTCTATTTTATCCTATCCTATCCTATCCTATTCCTACTCTACTCTACTCTATTCTATGCTAAATATATTCTCACAGGTTTTAAACTGTTCCAAGTAAAGCTGCATTTTGCAATTGACTGATGGTACTTTTGTAAATGCCAATGGAGTTCATGTGATCTCCAGAGGTGGTTGTTGTTGTTATTGTTATTTCTGTATGACTGAACAATTCTCAGTGGTTCAGAACTTCCGATGTTACCAGCATGGCAGATTTTTGTTCCTTCCCAACATCAAAATATCCCATCTATGCACGTTTTGGGATGTCACTCTCTCTGCTGCCCAACAAACAAATCTGCTCAACCAGCAAAGAATGTGGCTTCTTGACAATTTTTGTGCACAAATCTAACTACAGACACAGCCTTGAATACGCACACCAGAACATGAACCTGGGTTGCACGTGCCTGTAAACCAGGATACAAACCAGAAAGGGCATCTTTTGTTATTCTTGGCCAGAAACTTCTAATCAATTATAATAAATTCGGCGCTGAGCCTAAAGGATCACCTCCATCTTTGGAAAGAGCAAGCGAGGGGCAAGGAACTCTGCACATGCTCCTCGCCCAGGAGGAGTTTGGGTTTTTTAATCCACTGTCAATACATGCCGGTTGCCAAGCACCCAAATTTTGATCACATGACGACAGGGATGTCGCAAGAGTCATAAGCATGAGGAGCAGTTGTAACTCCCTATTTTCAACAGGGTTGTAACTTCAACACACTCGCTACTCGCTGGTCGTCGGTGGAGGATTACCTGTATCCCAGGTGCAATTATTGATCAGACCGGCTGCACCTTTTTCTTCTTCTTCTTTCTTGGTCCTACCTAGGTACCTGATGCAACGGAAAGCGGCGATAGACTAGATTTTGGAAGCCCACCACTCTCAATTTCAAAGCGACTTCTGCAACAACGGGGCGTAAAAGAGTTGGTGGGCCGGATGGACAAGGAAGGATGCCAGACCCCTAAGTACTTCCTGAACTCTCCGTCGCCTGAGCCCAGGGTAGGTCCCGCTTCTCTGACACTCCCCCCTCCCCACCCCCTTAATCAGGGGAGGGGACGAGTTTTGCCCAGGACCTTCCCCTTGAAGAAGGAGGGGAAGGATCCCTCCCCGCGTCCCTCTGCAAGGGCCCCGCTCCCCTGCGCTCACCGCCTTCCCCGTTGGCTCACCAATACACACACACACACACACACACACACACACGGCCCCTCTCCGAAGACAACCCCCCCCACCCTTCTGCCTCTCGCTGGGCTTCCCTTCGTCTCCCACCCCTCTCCCCTTCCTCCCTGCCTGATTGGCCGAAGCCTGTCCTTATGCTAATCATATGCGAATAGTCCAGGGCTAGTCAGCTGACGTCACCGGGCCCAGTGGCCGCCGCCGCCGCCGCCGCCGAGGGAGGGGGAAGAGGGGAAGAGGGAAGAGGAGGAGGAGGAGGAGGCGAAGCGGAGCGAAGTGGAGCGCCTTCCGTCGCCCAGGCAAAGCGGGGAAGATCCGGCTGAGCGCGGCGCGGGGGAGTCCGGGCTGGGCAGCCCCCCCGTTCCCCCTCCCCCGCTTCCCTCTCGCCCTGCTCCCGCGCGGCGCAAGCAGGCAGGGAGGGCTCGCCGGGGCGGGGCGGCCGGGGCGGGGCAGCGCCTGCTGGGAACATCATGGCTACTCTGGCCAACGGGCTAGCGCAGCAGCAGCAGCAACAGCAGCAGCAGCAGCAGCAACAGCAGCAGCAGCAGCAGCAGCAGCAGCAGCCGCCTCCCGCCGGGCCCCCGCCGCCGCCGCCGCCGCCCCCGCCGCCGCCGCCGCCGCCGCAGGCGGAGAGCGCCGCTTTCAGCACCACGAACAGCGCCGCGAGGATGAACGGGCTGACGGCGCCGGCGCCCGGCCCGGGGGTTTCCATCGCCATGAAGGACCACGATGCCATCAAGCTGTTCATCGGCCAAATCCCGCGGAACCTGGAGGAGACCGACCTCAAGCCCCTCTTCGAGGAATTCGGCAAGATCTACGAACTCACCGTGCTCAAGGACCGCTTCACCGGCATGCACAAAGGTAGGCAAGGCAAAGGCAAAGGGCTGGCCGCCAGCCCGGAAATCGCTCGCTGGCTGCCTTGGCTGGCTGGCTGGCTCGCCCGCCCGCGCGGACCCCTCCTCCGGCTCCGACGCCTCCCGAGACCCCGCCACGCCTGCCCCGCCTGGCCGGGCGGAGGGGCCAACAAAGGAACCGCCGCCGCCGCGCTTTCTCTCTCTCTCTCTCTCTCTCTCTCTCTCTCGTGTGTGTGTGTGTGTGTGTGCGCGCCCGCCCGTGGGTGCGCAAGCGAGGAAGACGTGCAGTTCTACTCGGAAGCCAGCCAGCCAGCCAACCAGCCAGCCAGCCCCGGAGCCCTGGCTTTCGGGCGGGGGGGTGGGGAGTGCGGGTGGCCTGGCGGCCCACGGGAAAGAAAGTGACCTCCCCTTCTCACCACCACCACCCCCGCCGCCCCAGCTGGGCTCCCACCTCGTAAGATGGCATGGGAGGGTTCGTCCCCCACCCGGGTGTTTGCGTCCTGAGGAAGGGTTTGGTTCGGGCAAAAAAAGAAAAAATGACAGAGGGAGGTAAGGAGAATGCCGGCCCTCCCCGTTCTGGTGCCCCCCCCTCCCTTACCCTACCCAGATCGTATCAATAAACCTGTGTGAAAACTTAGGTGGCAGGTTTAAAACAAAAAAACAAAAAACTGGCCAACAAGAATGGATGGAGTTGTGACACGTGGAAGGGGCAGATCTCCCTCCCTCTCCCCTCCCCCCCCCGCTCAAAAAAAGCTCCGTACATTTTGGCAGGAAGAAGTTAACACCGCCGGCGAAGCCCCCTCCCGCCCCTTCCTCCTCCTCCTCCTCTTCTTTCCCAGGTTGTGTTGTTCTTCGCAATTCGTTGGTTAGGCATGCGGGAGTCTTCAGCTGGGTTTGCCTCTCGGAGTAAACACAGCTCCACACTAACGCAGCCGTGGCTCAAGGTCCGGGGGGTTCGGGCTCACCTCCATTCATCTTTTTGTCACGTCTGCTCCGGGGGTGCATTGCACAATTCCCTCCCCTCCCCGAAATGGGAACCCAAAGAAAGAAGAACTGGCTGTTCCAACGTTGGGCAAATGCAAAGTTCGGCTGGGTGAAACATTTGGACGCCCCCCCCCCCCCCCCACCTCACCCCGTCCCTCCACCTCCCCATCAAAAGGGTTGGCTGGATTTGTGAGAGAAGTGAATGAATCCAAAGGGTGTGAGTGTGCGTGCATGGGTGTGTAAGAGAGAGAGAGAGAGAGAGAGAAACAAGAGAGTGGGAGATTTGTAAACACAACCGGAAGCCCAGATCTTCTGAATGAGGACAGGAGGTGCTGAACTGAAGGTGCCCCCCCCCCCACACCCTTGGTTTGGGTTCACTGCAAAGTTTGTTGTGATGTATTTGCGCCTCATGGGCAGGTAGGGGGGAGGCTGGGGGGGGAGGTCCTGCATATGCTGATGAAGGAGCATGTGTATTTGCAGGGGAGGGGGCCAAGAATCATGCATAAACACTTCCGGATTTGCATAATCTGTTTCTTTACCACATTAGCTGAGGTTGTTTGGTTCCCCCCCTCTTTTTTTTCTGATTTCTTTTGCAGTAGGTTAATCTCTATAAAGCCAACAAACCAATAAACCCAGGCACCAAATATTTATTTGTTGGTTTATTACGGCAAGCTTCATATGTGAATATAGATACGACATCTTTGACAGTCCTGGTGAAGCGTGTGGTGTGAAGCTACCCTCTCCCCCTGCCCACAAAAAAGGTTTGCACAACAACTGGCTTCTGAGGTGTAAAGATCAACGGTTGGAGGATTTCTTTCTTCTTGTTCCTCAGCTGACTTAGATCCGGGGTGAAGACTGGTGAGCATGTGGTAGGACGTGTCTTTCTGTGTGCACACGGCGTATCTTCACACCAGGAGCCCATGTTTGGGTCGTGGCATGACATTATTTGCGTGCGCTCAAGTCAGGTTTTGACTTCTTGCAATTGGCTGGAAGAGTTCCTTGCAGGTTTCTTGGCAACCTTTTCTGGAACTGGTTCATCATTGGCTTCTTCTTCTTAGGACTGAGGGAAAAAGGGCTGGTCCAGAGTCGCCTCAGGTCAGGATGAGAATTCATGGTCTTCCTCTTTGTAGACAAGGGCCTTTAGCAACTACTATACCAAACAAGATCTCCTTATCAAGAATGGACTGTCTGCGTCTGAATGCAATCTCTCAGGAGACCCCCTTGGGTTCCTACTCTGTGGAATTTCTTGGAGGCATCTAGTTGAGTATGGATAACAATATAATTTACCCACAGTGCTTAAGGCGAGACTAGAAGTGCCAGGTCCCAGTTTCTAGACCAGTGACTTTAACCCCTATTTGAAGCAGGCTCAATATCACTGATTTGTGTGTGCCCAATTTTACCAGCATTTTAGTGTTTTAACAGCAGCAAAGAATCGTGTGTGTGTGTGTGTGTGTGTGTGTGTGTG